GACATGCTACATGGCAATGCACACTTGTTTTTACATCGTAAAAACCCATGTCTAGTTGTTATTGAGTTTGTCAACACGAACCGCTACCTGAGAGGCACTACTAGCCCCTCCCCCGTCAGAGTGTCGGAGCAGGACGAGTCAGTGCAACGTCAATCAAATGAGAGCGAGGGAGGGGGCGATTGCTGCATGTGGGGGAGGGGGGGAGAAGAGAAAATGTTTTATGGGTAGAGTAGTTTATTTTTCCTGTAACACTTCATTATAGTTTTTTAAGACAAAGCTAACTGAAAGGGGCGCTGAGCAGAGTTACAACCAGGGATTACAAATAATTACTTTTTTCTTCTGCAGTTTGGCGCTCCCTCCTGCAGATGGCGCTCTAAGCGACCGCCTAGTTCACCTATGCAGAGAGCCGGCTCTGAGTCCTGGGACCCCAGTTTGAGAACCTCTGTCCTACAGGACTGGACTGCAGCAGCTCAGACCGGAGGACATGAAGGTCTCAGTCGTTCCCAAACTTTTCAGCTTTTGACCCATTAAAACCCCTGCAGAGACCTGAGCCTCCAGCTGTCAGCTGATAAACACCGTTTTCCCGTTAAATAAAAGAGCATATTACATTATTTGTTACATTATATTTGTCAATTTTTACTACACTAATCGTATTATTTTGTAACAACAAAGGCAAAAAAAAACGAGTTGTCCTTTTTTAGTATAATTAATTCAGAAACTATTTTCAGGACCCCACCTTGATGTTTCAGGACCCCCCTCTGGGTCCCGACCCTACCTTTGGGAACCGCCAGTCTGCCTCAGCTCACAGATTTCATGCAGTTTATTAACACGGGTCAAAATCCAGGGTTTTGTTTGTCTGATGTAAACAGGAAGTGCTGTCTTGTTTACTGAAATAAATCTCTTCGTTCAGTTTGTTGTTTTGAGCTGCAGTGCATCATGGGAAGCTGCCCTCAGCAGGATGGGAGTGGTGTTGTGTTTATGTTGTTGTTGTGTTTGTGTTGTTGTTGTTGTACTCACAGCTCAGTCGTGCTCCTCTTCTTCAGAAAGCCCAGGGAGCTGCTGGGTAAAATCCTCCTCCTCTTCATGTCTCCATCTTCCTCACTTCCGTTACAAACTTCTCCGCCTTTCTGCTGTTCTTTGAATCAACACAGGAAATCCTCTCCTCAGCCAATCAGAGAGCCAGCTGCTTGAGGAAAGCCACCACTGACCAATGGGAGCAGAGCACAGCTGAGACGCACAGAGGGGGCGGAGTCAGAGCTCCTTAAAGAGACAGGAACCCTTTAAACTGATAAAAAAAATAATAATAATGAAATGTTTGAAAAGAAATCAGTTCAAATTATTTAAATAAATAAATTTAGATGTTAAGACATTTTATTTATCAGGATCTTAAGTTTTGTTCTCTCCAACAAAGTCTTTGTTTCTTCATATTTCTGAACAGCAGCACTTGAAATAATTTATTTTTTTGGTTTAAACTGATATTATTTGTTGATCAACTCGCTGTTAAAAAAGTTAAGGGACAAACAAGGAGATAAAGCATGCTGGTTCCATGGATAAGTAAATAAAAATGTAAACAAAATGTATTTTACTCACATAAATTGCTAATTATCTAAAAAAAATAAACAAATAAAAACAGTATCTTTTCCTTGTTGTTCAGAACAACCCGTGTTTCAGTCCCAAAAACTTTTCTTTTGTTATGATGAACTAAAAACTTTCACCTTTTCATTGAGCTGTAGATACACTCTTTTTTTTCTTTTTTTCTTTATAAAAACCATGTTGTTGTAGGTCTCCTGCCTGATTCAGTGTCTTACTGCTGCCTCCGTTAAACAACTCATGTTTACAAACCCAGACTAACTCTATCAGACGTAATTAATAAACATAATAAACATTAGCTAGTTAGCTGTTGATACCGGACAAGCTAGCTAGTTGCTTCACGGTCGGCCGTACTTTCCTCACATCATCCGAC